ATAAAGCCATGGTTCCTGCCCCTGAGGAGCTTATAGTTTTAAGGAACTTATCAATAACTTAGTCTTGAATGGTGGACTTAATATTCCTAGAAAATAAATGAGGAGAATGACACTGGGTGTGACTAATGACCTACCCAGCCTGGAATGTGGCACTGCTGGTGGCATTAAGGGAAATTCCTTGGGAAGATATGCTGTCACCCTTAGAGGGTAGGGAACATTTCCTCTGAGTGTCCCAGATACCCTGTGAATAACATGCTCTGGCTTAGGGTGGAGGCCTCCAGTAGAACAGGCCTGGTTCAAACAATTCCCTTCCCACAAGAAGACATGTAGAAAGCACAGGAGATTGGACCAAATATGGAAACACCCTGTGATCTCCGTGGAAGTTGCCTTCAAGAGGAATTCCTGATGGCCTAGTAACTTTTTATTCATCCCTTTCTTTCAAAATTAGAGCACAGAATGCCATTGACTATTTGACCTTTCTCTTGTCATTTGAGTTAAAGGTAAATGGACGTTGAAGGTACATTTTTGAACTTAAGAATCTAAGAAGAGTAAGCCCATTTCTAAAGTGCATAAACTCTCCCTCTCTCAGTTCTGTTTCTACTTGGAAAGGTGAGCAAGGCCTGGGGAGCGTCTCTTACCACCTCGCTTAGGAGTCAGTTGTTGGCTTTGGAGCCAGAGAGCATTAGCAGAGCGTCATGAAGGCACCGCACATGGGGAGACAGCAGTATGCCAGTGCCAACTGGCCAGGTCCTGCTCAAGAGACGACGGGAGTTTTGTGTGGTGGCTTCTGCCATTACGGAGCTTGCACTCTAAGCTAGAGGGAATCTTTATGGATTTTCAGACTTGAAGTATTAATAGCACAGAAACGGTTCAGATGATGAGCTTGTGTCTTGCTAGCATGGTGAGAGCTGTGTGGTTGAGAATCGGTGAGAAGAAATGGGTCCTTCTCTTCAGTTACTTGTTAAAAGGTTCAGGTTTGTTTAGCTCTAATTTCTCATAATGACTCAGCTTTCTTGAGAATATAGATAGGAACCTGTTAGAGATTAATTTTTTCTCTGTCTTTTTGGACATAAGTGAACATCTGTCACACACAAGGTCAGTTCACCTAATGGCCCAGGTGTGGTCTGTGGTAGGTGGCCTCTAAAAGTTGGGGGCCTTTAGTATGATCCTCAAGAATGGATGGTTAGGACCTGAGGCATATGGGGGGGTGGATTCTTCACTGAGTACAGGATCGAGGTGCCTCGGCTGTGCTAGAACCAGGTTACTTTCGAAATGGTGTTCATCAATGTGGCTTCTCTTAGAGAAGAGGGTGTGAAAACTCCGTCGTCAACCAAGGCAGTACACAGAAAGGTGCCAAAATGTCCCCAGCTGTCTTCCTTGCCTATGTCATAGTAGAGGCTGATGTTCTCAAATGGCCATGTGCTGTAAGACCTTAAGACAAGACAGGACCAGACGGGGGAAGGTGTGAGTGTGTGTGGTAAGGAAGAAGGAGGTGGATAGAATTTCCATTTTGATCTAAATGCTTTGCAGTTGCATAATGTGGTGGTGGCGGTGGTGGGAGGTTGTGGTCTAAAGAGGGATAGAACGTGAGTTCATAAAAATTTGGACTTTTGCTCCAAAAACAAGTTGGAATTCTATTTCCACATTGGCCATTCTGTGGACTGTGCCCTAGAGAGTCTGCTAGTAGCCAAGTCTCTTGAATGCACTCACATTCCCAGTCATTTCCTTTTTCTTTGCATTGGCACAAGCCTCCTCATTGTGACATTCTTTCCTTGGTATGTCCCTTGGTATATGGACAAGAATTAAAGATATGAGCAAACCAGTGCTGGGCTCTGTTGAACTCCTAGGTCTGTGAAGTTGTTCTGTTTTTCTCTTCTGAATTTTGTGCTTGCCCAGGTCTCCCTGCCAGTGGGGTAAGACCTTTGTCCCTGCACTATGTGCAGAATCACTTGGACGCCATATTGATCTCTGGTAGTCTGTGTGGGGCACTGAGTTAGTGGGTCAGCTGTAGGGCAGTGTCCTTATCCTGAGGATTGAATAGGATAGGCTACCTGTGTCTCTGAAGACTGGGAAATGCATGACAACAGAGTGGTTCTGAGGAAAAGCTGATGGTGGGTTCTGGAAGTTTCTTTCACTGAAAGATAAATAGCAAGTAAGTAGAGGAGAAAACTCAGATCACCTGGATTAGAAGGTTTTAAAATGAGTAGATTTCTGGGATTGGGTCTAGAGTTTTGCTTGGGCTATCCTAGCCTGATGGTCTAGGTGTCAGAGGACATCACAGGGGACAGTAACAAGTGGGACATGGCTCAGGGAGAAGAAGAATAGTGCCCCTCTGAGGAACACCTTGGAGGCCAAGTAAAAGGATATGGGTAAGACATTTGAATAATAAAATTTCGTCTCCATGCAAAATATTAGATAGCATCCACATCACTTTACAGGTGAGCAAATGCAGAGAGATCGGGATAGCATGACTTGTGCAAGGTCCTAGCAAGTGAATGGCTGAGTCAGGTTGAGAATCCAGGTCTTCCAGATGCTTGCTGGACATTCTTCCCTATTTCCTGCTACCTCCATGGTAAAAGAGCAAGTGCTCATCACCTTTCATACCAAGCCAGTCTAATTGCCCAAGAAAAAAAAAGCCACTTCCACCAACTGCTAGGCAAATCCATTCATATCTAGAGAAAAGGCAATGGTATTACCCAAAGAATGTTTATCAGGGTGAGGAATTTGAACTGGAAGCCTCAGAGAGAAGAGATGTGAACCCAAGAGGGGAGTTTAGCATGGTGGTGGCTTCCAAAATCTGAAGACTGGTCACTCTAGAGCCCTTTTGGAAAATAAGTCTAAATGGGTGTTTGTCCTCCTGTTCCTCCTAACAGCTGCCCCTGAGAGGTAGGTACCCCTGGGAGCTAACAAATCACCAAGGAAGAAAAGGATGAAAATAAATCAAACTGAAATCCATACATTGCCGTCTACCAGACCTTACCATGATTATGTGCGAGAAGTTCACCTGCCGAACCACTTGTGATTAGAGCTTTGCCACCCGATAGAACATCTCTTAGAAAAGCAAATAGCTATCATGTCTGGGCAAGCGATAGGCCTACTCTGCTATCGTGAGCACATGCACATACGTGCCCTCCCACACCCAGGCACATATTGAAAAATATACTCTGCCCAAAATGCTATTAGGACGTGTCTCAGTGCCCAGCATTGTGAAATATATTTAGAGTTAAGAATGTTCAGTTAAAATGTTCTGTACTGTTAATATTTCTCAATTTGGGTAGATCAGCCATGGCTAGGAGTGAAATAACACGGAGGGGGATGGGGTGCCCTACAGTGTCATGGATGAGGGTGTGTGTGTGTGTGTTTGTGATTGAGAAATCGTTTGACTTTGGCAAGGGAATAAAGGGAAAGCAAGCAAACAAAACAATGTGATTGGGAAAGAGTCCTGCGAAGGGAACTGTGTGTGATCTCTATCAGAAGGCCACACACCGGACACCAGATGCTATCCTCATGCCATGGGGCCAGCAGACTGCGGCACTAAGGAGGCTCACCTGGGGGCACCGCATGGTTTTGACACATGGCTGGGTTCTCAGCCTGGGATTTGGAAGGTGGTGGCAGTGGGTAGCCTAGTTTTGTCATCATGATCTGGGTACTGCAGCCTAGGTTGGGGAGCTGCTGGCATGAGTGTGTCCTACTCCCTCTCCCAGCTTGCAGCTTTATCTGACATCAGTACCAGCTCCCCAGCCTTTTAGCACGGTCTTAACACGTCAGCATTCTGATGCGAGAGGTTGTTGGCTTTGAGAGGGCTTCGTGTTCTCTCCCGCCTGCCCCACCGCCTGCAGATCCTGCCTCTGGCTGCCACTGCCTACCCTGTTCCTTAGGGCCAGGCCCCTGGGGAGGTTGTGGGGAAGGCACAGAGACTGGGGCAGAGGTGGAGGCTGCATCCTGGACCTGACAGCAGGAGTGTGGGTGGGGGGACGTCAGTGTTGCTGGTTGGCCAGCAGCTCGGAGCCTCCCCCGGTGCTCAGCTCCCTCTGGCCCACCCGCCTCCCTGCATCTCACCAGCTCCCTCGCTGGTTCGTGACTGAGCCAGGGGTCTGGTGGGAAATGCCCCGGTTGGGAGTTGGGATCAGAGCACTGTGGCAGGCTGGGCCTGGGACCAGTTCTTACCAGGTCTCCCCAGGGGGGATAACACATGCCCAACCCACCTCCCAGAATTGTAGTGACGGCAAAGAGACAATGTGTGTGAACGTACTTTGGAGAGCCAAGCGTGACTACTACGACTTATGTTTAGGGAATGATGTTATCCAGGTTCTTGACACTCTTCTTTCTGTCAAGGCAAGACAGAGAGGGAAGACACTTCTTTAGGGGACCTTAAGGGAAGGGTGTGCATGTTGGAGGTCACTGCAGTTCCAAGAACATCTGGATGCCAGAGAGAGACGCATCTTGTGTCCATAAAGGCATCAGTTCATTCATAAGCTTATTCGGAGCCTCCTCTGTGCCAGTCACCGTAGTGGGCGCTGGAGACAGGAGGGGGGAAAGATGCAGGTACAACCCTCCTGAGTATAACAGGCGTGTTAGCCTTAGCACAGCGACGACAGTGCTGTCACCGAGGTGAACAGAGGCTGGAGGTCTCCACATGTGGGCTGTGCTAATGTGACACTGAGCATTATGTCTGTCTGACTTCTTCCTTCCTCCCTCTGAAGTTGGTTCTGATTTTTTACCTTGGTCTATGTGCCAGTGGTAAAGCAGTAGGAAGGGCCCTGTTTTTCTGTCTTGTGCCCAAGACCAGGAATGGGTGCTTCCTTGGCTGGCAGCAGTCCATGGGCACATGGGGCGACTTAGGCTGTCTGGGGACTCAGGGGTGTGTCTCTGTCATTGCCCTTCGTCTCCCTGCCTCCTGTCCCCTGCCAGAGGAATGGCTGCAAATCCCCCAGGAAGGGGTGGGCTTGCCTCCTGTCCAGCCAGAGCAGCAGCAAACTCTCTTTTCCTTTCCCCTACAGGAAGCTGCACAGTGGGATGAAGACATACGGGTGCGAGCTCTGCGGGAAGCGGTTCCTGGACAGTTTGCGGCTGAGAATGCACTTACTGGCTCATTCAGGTAGGTGAGGATGCCCTGATGCCCCATTGGGGCACAGGCAACCACCTCCTGCCCGCTGTCACCCCCCCACTCAGGGCTTGCTTTGGTCTGTATGGCACCACTGCCTGCTGGGGCCTTGGTGCACCTTGTCCCGTGGATTCTCCCTCCAGGTTCCTGGAGCGGAACATCCATCCTGACAGTGTGACCACCTGGATAAACCCACCCTCAAGCTCTCCTGGGTTTCCCTGAGCATTGTTGGTGCCTAGCGCCCTGTGTGATCTACCTTCCAAAGTAGACTGCAGTTTCATTAGCAAAACAGTTGTGGAATTAGGTTCTCGCTGTCTAATGAATCTGACTATTGGGTTCACATTATACAGGAGCCTTTAATTAAATAGATATAGAAAGGTTGGAACACAAAGCTAGTTATAGCGTGCTGTCTTTTGCAAGTTAATTTTATCCAATTCTAGTGGGGTCGACTGTGTGGCTGCTGGTAATTTTGCTCATGTTTGGGCAAAGCTGCTCTGCCCCATGAGGTGTGCAAAGGGGAGAAGCACCTGCCACTCATCATGCCCAGGTGTTCCTGGTGGAGGGAAGGATCCAGCAGGTCTGATGCTGAGGCTTTGAGGCTGAGAGGTTGCTGCCTGCAGTTGTAGAGGCCTCAACGCTTCCCTGCCGGGGCACACTCTCTTCCCTCTAATTCCTTTGCCTTTGACCTTGGAGTCACTTTTTAGGGGAGAGGAGAGAGCTGTCTTCTTATTTTGTCCTGCTCTCCTTCATACAGCCTGCCTCTTCTTTCCCCATATTGCCTCATGCAACTGGCCCTGCAGGCAGTTGAGCGTTTGTGAAATAAGCCTGGGCTTTGGGGTTGGGCAGACAAAGGTTCAAATCCTGTTTGTGATGTGTGCTGTGTGACCTTGGCCACGTTTATCTTGCAAATCCCAGTTGCTGTTTCTGATAAGCGCAGGTGTTGCTAACTCATATAAATTTTTTTTTTTTTTGAGGATTAGGTGACAGAATATATGTTCGAGGCATTCAAAGCAAGCCCCTGGCATACAGTTGACACTTAATAAGTGTCAGTGGTCTCTGCTTGCACCTTCCTTCCATTTCTCCACTTCCCAGGCTGTTGCCCCTGGGGAGTAGCCCCCTCGCCTTACCCAGAAGCTTCCTGCTTGGCTGGCTGTTTGCATGGGTTTCCCCTCCAGCCCGTCGTGTGTGCGGTTGTGGAAATGCTCTTTGGTGGCTTTCTGTGTGTCAGCGCACCACTACCCTGCTGCAGGGCCCCGTGGCTGTGCACTGTTGGATGTGACCACTCTCCATGGCCTGCGTGGCCCTTCCTGAAGTACCATGCCTTCTTCCCACTTCCTGTTCTGCCCTGTTCCACATCCAGGGATCTGCCCACACCAGGCAGCTGTCGGTCTCGACGTGTCTGCTCTGTCCCCACGCCTTTGTGTGTTCCGCTTCTCCTTCCTGTAGGGCCTCCGCGCCCTCACCTTTGCTCCGTGCGGGTGAACCATCCTCACCCTGCCCACCTGTCTTACCTCGGCCAGAGCCCTGAGTCCAGACATTTCTGTGTTCGGCGTCTGCTCTGCACTCATATACACTTACTCTTCTGTTTTAATGACATGCACATTTTATCTTCTTGCTTCTCTTTAGCTTTGTAGGTGGTTTCAGGTTCAGTGAGTGGTTTTGAGAACTGTCTGCCCACTCGTTTGGCTGCCCCTCTCCTACCCCAAGAGCAAAGTGTGGGGCTTCCGTGTTTTGCTCCCTGCCCCAGACACCTGTGTGGCACAGGACACTTATGACGGGGCAATGCTCCTTTCAGCCAGTTGTTAACGCCTCCTTGCCCCTCTCCGTAGCTCAGTGGCAGTAGCATCCTTTCTCTCTCCTCTTCCCTTGAGTCCAGTGCTCTAGCCAGACTTCGCTTCAGTGCTCATTGCTTTCTGAACTTTGTGGCTTTGTTCACCCATTTTATCTGCTCGGGATAACCCTTTTCCCATTTTCCCAGATCTTCCAAGGTCCCTTCCACGATGCCATCCTCACCTGTTCCCCACTTCCAGCTGGAAGCAATCATGCCATCTTCTGGGTGCCCATATTTCTTTATTTGAAGCTGTCTTTGGGCAAAGTCTTTCTTCTGTATTATGTTTATTTATGGACTTCCCTTATCTCCTCTACTTGGGAGGCAAGCTGACATGATGGGAAGAATTGGGGCACCCACCTCCTGATGGTGTAACCTTGGGCATGAAATATTAACATAAGCTCTTTGAGCATCAGTATCCTTAATCTGTAAAATGAAAATATTTTACCCTATCTTAGAGAAGTTGTGAGGCTCATGTTGGATACTTAGTACTATGCCTGACACACAACAGGCTCACGGTAAACGTAATTTCCTTTCCCCTCTGTTTCTCTAATAGATTATAAGCTGCCTGGGGACAGGATCTGTCCCTGTGATGTCTAGCACACTGCCTGGCACATTATTGAAGCCAACAAATATTTGTTACATGAATGAGTGTAGCCTGGGAGGCTGACGAACAACTTAAGGAAACTCCACTCTCCTGCAGTAGGAACTGTTTATGTCTGAGCGGCTCACTGGCGGGGGTGGGCAGCCAGGAGCCTGCTGGCCCATATTGTACCCCTCCAGGCAGCGTGACTAGATGTGAGTGAGCCACCATCTCTGCTGCGAATCACACATCAGCAGTGTTGGTGGGGCTGGTGGGAGCGGCAGAGAGGAGAGGGGCTGCTGACGTACTTTCAGGTCAGCCCAGGGCCCCAGTTCAGACAAGACAGTGACTTTGCACAGCCTCCCTGTGGGGCCGGCAGTTCCCTGGGGGAAGGACACTTCGGTCCTGCCCAAGATGCCACTTCCAGGTCCCCTGGTCTTATGTGGATGCTCCAGAGGTTTTAGGAGTTGGATCCTGTTTTCCTAGTTTTTCCTTTCCATTATTGACACTGAAGGCTGACTGTGTCAAATCATTTGTCCTTCTGTTAGTCACTTGCCAATATCCCTGTAAAGGAGGATTTGGTGATAGGGCAAGTAGAACGAGTCCTCACAGTGTTTCAGTTTACCCTTGCAGATAGCTCACAGCCTTCAGAGTCTGGTATTTCTGTTCTCTATGTTTTCTTTCTATTGCTCTGCATATTTCTCACCCCTGCACCGGGATGTCGTGCAAATAGCACAAAATGTTTAATGAGGCTATACTGCTTCCTGAGTTGTTTGTCCCCCTGTTAAACAGTGACAGCCACGGGGGCCTCTGGAGTGACCTGGCCTTATTGGGGAGCTGGGGTCAGAGGGTTGGGCTGGGCTGGGGGTGCCAGGTCTTCTCGCAGATTCCAGGAGTGGTTTGACACGTTCTGATACCTGCCTCTAGATGCCTGATAACAGAACAATGTGATATTTTAGAAGAGACGTTTCCTCAGATGACATGAGATTTTCCTGCTGTCTTGTTTTTTTTTTTTTTTTTTTGAGACAGAGTCTCACTCTTTTGCCCAGGCTAGAGTGAGTGCCGTGGCGTCAGCCTAGCTCACAGCAACCTCAAACTCCTGGGCTCAAGCGATCCTCCTGTCCCAGCCTCCCGAGTAGCTGGGACTACAGGCATGCGCCACCATGCCCGGCTAATTTTTTCTATATATTTTTAGTTGTCCAATTAATTTCTTTCTATTTTTTAGTAGAGACGGGGTCTCGCTCTTGCTCAGGCTGGTTTCCAACTCCTGAGCTCAAACAATCCGCCCGCCTCGGCCTCCCGGAGAGCTAGGATTACAGGTGCTGTCCTGTTTTGAAGGCTGCATGCAGGGAGCCGACCACGAGAATGGACGCTTTGGGTGTGTCGTGCACACCCATTTTACAGAAGATCACCAAGGGTTGGAGCAGCAACACAGAGCCTAGAAGAACAAGAGTTGCTCCAGAACCCCTGGGACTATTTTTTTAAGAAGGGGCATGCTGCGGAGAAGCGAGCTCGGGATCCGGCCAGGGGTCCGTGCTTACTCCCCTACACGCCGCTGCCCTTGCGCCGGCACATTCCTGCTGTTTTCTTCTGCTCAGCGGAGCTGAACCGTGCTTGGTGCTCGGGCTTCCTGGCGAGCTCGGAGTGCTGGCTGCCCCCACCCCCTCTTGGCTGGCGTTGCCTGTGTTTGTTATTGTAGTTCTGGCGCGGGGCCAGGCCTGGCGGGGAGCCAGACTTGTGGGTACAGTATGTACAGTGAGTGCCGAGCCAAGTTTGTCATCACACACGATTAATTTTTTTTCTAATCTGGTAGGGGTGGGGTGAAGGAGGAGGCAAGAAAAGAGTTTCTCCCATGCTTTAGAATAGGCTGCCTCGCATTCCACGGAGATGTCACTGCCGAAAGGAAGAAAATGCTCCAGCGTGTTCTTCCTTCGCAGCTCTTCCTCCCTTCTCTCCTCGTCTTCCTCCTCTCCTCCTCATTTCCCCATCGGTTGAAATCAGCCTGTAGGAGACCGACAATGGGGGTCTTATTTTCAGTGACTAGAATACTAAATTTATGCTCCTAAATCAGTTTTCATTGTGTTGAAATTGACAATTTGTTTAATTAGAAGTTTGCCCTGTAGGAGGCCCTTCTGAGAGGCAGTGCCTTCCCTTTCTCTCTTTTACTTTCTTTTTTTGGTTGTTTTTTTTTTTTTTTAAAGACCCTAAATGGTAGTAGTGAATGTTCAGTTTAATTAAAGTTTTTATTTCAATTTGAATGTGTTAACTAATCAAGTGTTTATGAGATATACCTGATGATAACAATAACTTAACGTTAACCAACAATAACCCATCCTAACTCATTAATTAATGAGATGATCTGGCCAGGCCCTGCGTTCTCAGAGGTGGTTTTGGGGGTCAGAAGGGAACGAGGCTTGGGATGGAGAGAGAGACAGCCTCCACGGCTTTGCAAAGCTGGCCCTGCGGGGTAGGGGGTGAAGCTTGGGTGTAGGGTTGTGGCAGTGAGCAGAAGAATCCCCCCAGCCTCACCTGTGTCACATGATGACTCTGAAGCCTCCCTTGCCACCCTTTGCTGCCCAATCC